GAAAGCACAAGGAGGGACTATTTGGGGGATTTGGGGGGAGTAAGGGGACCAGCAAGAGTCAGGGAACAGAGAGGGTAGGATAGTTAAGGGACACATAAGAACAAAGTAGCATGATATAAGTGTGCGAAAATGTTATACTGAAACCCATTTCTCTGAATACTAAAAATTATATATAAAAACAACTTAAACACATCTTTAATGAGAAAAGAGATTAAAATAGTAATAGAGTCTTCTAATAAATAAAAGCACAGAAGAGAGATTTACTACCAAATTCTGACAGATCTTAAAGATGAACTATCAGCTATCAACAATGCTCTTTAAACTATCCCATTAAAATAGAAAAGGGGAAGCTAGAGAGATGGCTCAGTGGTTAAGAGCACTGGCTACTCTTGCAGAGGACCCAGGTTCGATTCCCAGCACCTACATGGTGGCTAACAACCATCTGTAACTCCAGTTCCAGGGGATACAATGCCCTCTCTGACCTCTGTGGGCATTGCATAACATGGGTGCACTTAACATACGTGCATGCAATACATTCATTCATACATGTAAAATACAAATAACGAATAAAATATTTTTAAAAATAGAAAAGGAAGAAACACTACCAATCACATTCTATGAAGGCAGTATTACCTTTTTTATAGTACTGAACATTTAACTTAAAAAAGTATTGAGCTTTTATACATTTCATACAACAGTTCTTAATCAAATTTAGACCCCCTCCCCCATTCATGCCCCCCCCCACCGGAACTGATGTATTCCACAAGGTAGTATTACCTTGATAAACAAAATCAGATAATGACACACACTCAAAAATTAAGATGTTTCCCCTGGAACTGTAAGCTCAAATAAACTCTTCCTTCTATTAAAAAAAAATTAAGGTGACTTTATCTGATGAACATAAACACAATAATTCTCAATAAAATAAAAGGATGGTGGAATGCTTGCAAAATCAACAAATGTAATACAGCACACTCAAGGACAGAAATCATGATTTTCTCATTAGAGGATGAAAAGATCTCTGAGAAATTCAATGTCTCTTCATGAAGAAATTATGATTAGAAGAAACACGCCTCAATATAATAAAGGCTATATAA